TTTTTATTCTGAATAAGCTACAACATTGTAACTTCCTGCAGAAACCTCACTGCTTGACAAGAACAGCCCGAAAAGGGGGCTTAGGAGAAACAGGAGAGATGGGGCCCTGGATAAGGAAGGACTTTTTCCTTTGCTGCCCTTGAGGACTTGACTGGGCACTCGAGGGCAGTCCGGCAGGCGGGGCACAGAGGCCAGCTGCACTCGGTGGAGACGCTTTGATGCCCAGCTCTGGGCTAAGCCTCTCCCTCCCAGCAGGTCCTTCAGAAGCCCTCAGAGGTGACCGGGATTTTCACCAGGTCCCTCGGGGCCCCAGAAAGATCATCAAAGTGTACTGGTGAGCCTGTGACAGGCACACAAAAGTCTCCAGCCAGGAAGTCCTTATCTGGACAGATGGCACGGTGGACCTTGGCTAAATCCTGTGCTCCCCCAGGGCAAAGGTCTGCGTGGGCTTGGAGGAAAACTGCAGTTTGATCCTCCTCGCTGCACCTGGGCCCCAGAGTCCTGCTGGGATGGCTGGAGAAGATCAGCACCAACGCCGCAGGTGACCTTGGTCACAAAGCCATCCTAGGGCTTGCCAAAGGACTTCCAAGTCACTTTGGAGTCCCCAGGAATGGATTGAAAGCAGCAGATGTCCATGGAGCTAGCAGGGGGTGCTTGTCTGGCTTAGAAGCAATGAGCATGTCACTCAATGTCCCCCTCCAGCAATGTCCCCCACACCTATGGTTCGAGGGTTCACCCTGTGCCAGGCGCCATTCAGAGCTCTGTACATGCCTTTTATCCTCAGAACTTCCCATCACAGCCATACAAGGTGGCAGCCATGATCACCTCCTCTTTAGAGGTAAAAGGCCTGAGACCTCCCACAGCCAAATCCTTTGTCCAAGATCCTACACTAGTGAGTGTCAGAGGCAGGATTTGAGTCCTGGCCCCTCTGCCTCTGGAGAATATGTCCCCAGCCTCCCGGGGCAGGCAGCCTGCAAGATGGCCCTCTGGGACCCTGCCTCCTGGTATTCACATCTTCCTGTAACCTCCCCCATGTGGGAGGGACCTAGTGACTGACTTCTAAGGAACAGAAGGGGGAAAAGGTGATGGATGTCATTTCCAAATCATGTGACAAAGAGACAGTGGCTTCCACCTCGCGCACGCCCTCCGTCACGCACACCCGAGGCCTCTGGAAGAAGCAAGCTGCCCTTTGGAAGTCGATCCACAGCGCTGTGGCAGGGAACTGGCGCAGCTTCTGGCCAACGGCCAGCGAGGTCGTCAATGCAACACCCCACGAGCAACTGAATCTGGCCAAGAGCCATGTGAGCAAGCTTGGGAGGAGACCCTCCCCAGTCGGAGCCTTGGGTTGACTGTAGCCCCAGCTGACACCATGACAACAGCCTGTGACAGTCCGTGCACCAGAGACACCCAGCTCAGGCCCCTGGGGTCCCTGACCCACAGACACTGACAGAGAATAAATGCGGAAATGCTGGTGGTTTAAGCCCTTGCATTTCGGGGCGATTTGATACGCAGTGAGAGGTAACGAATACACTTGCTGTCACTACTAGCAACACACACACCGCAAGCACGAGAAGGATAGAAAAGACCAACTCACCCCCAGGAAGCAGAGCTGAGGGAGCCCTGCTCACACCTGCTGACCCAGCCCTTCCTTTTGCTTTTGCTGGTGACGGCACCCAGGTGCACTGAGAGAAAGGTCCTGTTTGAAGGTCACACGCAAACTAAGGAGACCTGGCGTGGCCCTCGAAACCCTCAGATTCCCGGAAACCATTGCTGGGAGTTCACAGGGGCATTACTCACAAAACTGTACGTGCTCCCAGGAATCCAAACTTGCTACCTTGTCTTAGCTCCAGGTGCTTGGTAAGAGTACCGTAATGCTAGCTGGAAGGTCTCCGTAAAACTTCTCCAAATACTGAAACCACAGCCAAGGAAAAAAATATCTGAGAAATTCCAGTGGGCTCAAATATTCCACTGCAGGCGGACACCAAGTACAGTGGGGTCCTTTAGTGCGGCGTGTCTCGATTTTTGCTTCTCAGGCCAAATATTTATTGTCCTTTTCTCCTGTAGTCTAAAGGGAGTTAGTTCTCCTAGGAGTGAGGGGCCACTGTGAATGGGAGCTGCTCTGACACCTGTGGTTTCTGTCCCCAGCCTTTTTTTCTGTTTGTTTGTTTGTTTTAGTGGCACCCTGGTGGCCTGATATCAGGGTCATGGGGACAGTGTAGTCTGGGCTCAGAGCTCAGATCCAGGACAGCCTCCCCACCCTCTGGTTGGACTGCTCACTCCCCCCTCTGCTTCTTACTGAGACGTCTGTCTGCAGGACTGGATGGAGATAGTTCCGGCAGCCTTCCCCCCCCCCCCCCGCCCAGATCCTCCCTTCCTATCCTGCGAGTCCTGGAGCAGGAGAGAGTGAGCCAAATCCCAGGCCCAGCTGCGTCCAATACCTATTCCCAGCATCCCTGGGAGACTGGGAAAATCTTCTGGGGGTTGGACCAGCTACATAATTGTGGATCCCAATGTAAAATGAACATGTGAGACCCCCAGTTTAAAAAAATAAAGAATTTTAAGGCAACAACAGCAGAGCATATTAACTCTGGCACAGGGCCCTCTGCACAGGTCATATACTCAGAAGCTGGCCTGGTCTTGGGGTCTCCAATTAAACCCACCCTGAGTTATCTTTCTGGGAGGGCCTGTCCAAGCTGCTCACACAGAGAGTGGTTGTCACTTCTTGACCAAACTTTGCTGATAAGGACAGCAATGGAAATTCACCAGGACTGTGGGCTTGAGAAACGGCTTGGACTGTTGAAATGCAAAATGAAAGCATGTGCCGACTTCCAAGAGGCTGCAGAGGGGACCGATAAGGGCAGCCGTGAAATGAGCCCTGGTGGCCAGAGGGCCGGATAAAAACCTCTAGATATACTTACTTACTTGATCTTTCTCCTCCCTCTCCTTTTCCCTCTTTTCTTTCCTCTTAAGTTTTTTAAAGAGTCGCCAACATTTCAAACTTGAGATTTCACATAAATATTCATATTCCTAGTAGCTCTAGAAGCCAATTAGAACCTCCGTAACATGCAGGAATGTGGTAACAGAAGAGGCACATTCCTGCATGACAACAATCTACTGCCTCCACTATAGGGACTGGTGGCCTCTTGTTCGCCACAGTCCCCACCACTCCCTAATGCCTCTCTGACCCAGCATCCAAGTGACAAGTGTACATAGTCGCACCCGTGCTCTGTTTTCTTGTCATGGAGCCAAGAGGAAAGTACATGTCTACGTCAAAGTGAGAAGACAGAAGGCGGACTGAGAGTTCCACGTGCTTCAGGAAACATGGGAAAGAATATGTCTCTTTGCGGAAGAACATCCCCACATGTTAACATGTAAAGGGAGTCTCAGTCCAAAGAACACAACTTGAATGTTCTTATGGGGCAAACCACGGCCATCCCCCACACAGCCCAGCTCACTCATTCATGTCCCCAGTTGGGTCCCTGAAGGCACCAACACAGAGACTCCTGGACCAGAAGGCTCCGGAATGCAAGGGCAGTGCCAGCATCTCCGCCCACCAGGGCCCGCGGCCATCTTTCCTTTTGCTCTGTTCTGCCTGTTACCCCAGCAAAGACAGTGGACTTGGGGGATTCCCAGCACCTCCTCTCCCTTGCTGTGAGGTCAGTTTCCTTCCCCCAGAGCTGCGTGGGTGTTTGGCTCCCTGGGAATAGTGTTCTTTCCCGGCTGGGAGCACCATCAGCATTTGCCGTACTGGCCAGCCCTCCACTGGGCAGTCTGGGAGGGCGAGGAAGATGTCGCGATGGAAGCTGGGAGAGCCATGAGGGATGATGACAGGCGGTGCTCTTTACCCAGAGACAGAAAAGTGACAGGGTGAACAGTTTTAGAGACCTGGGGGGACAAGTCACTCAGTTCCCACAGCTCCTTGGAAAACCATATGCCAATGACCTAGAAATTCCCAGAGCTCAGGCCTGGGCCAGGGGGAGCCATGGGCACCAACCAGGCCTGGGAAGGGTGAAGCGCGTGCTGCCCAGAAGGGGGCGGAGTTGCCTGGACAGTATGTGACTCCTCCCCGGGGGTGTTTTCTGGCTCCCTGTGTCTACAACGGGGGCGGGGGTGGAGGACTAGACCTGCCTCCTGGGGCTTTGGGGAGATAATTAGTCCTTCTAAAGAGCATCATAATCCCTGGATCAAAGGGGCGCAGAGCTGCAAACTCACCCGACAGTGAGCGAGTACTGCCAGCCACTGGAGCACCCACTCCAGTGGGCGGGTTCCGATTTTCAGACCCTTCAAGGTGCCACCTCCCCGCCACATGGCTGCCTTAGAGAGTCTATTCACAGCACTGTTGATGGGCGGAGATGGAAATGACCATGACCCCATTTTCTAGGTGGGAAAACTGAGGCTCGAGGAAGCGAGGTGCAGACACAGGGCTCCCCCACCAGATCACAGCCGCCTCTTGGGTTTGGCCTGTGGCCGTTCTCTCCCCCACCCACACAGCCAGCGCCCTCAGCGTTATATTCTCTCAGAGAATGACGGGTCGCACTGCACAGGTGAAGTCAGTGTCCCCGGGCCCCCACCGCTTTCCCGCCCACCCCCTCCGCCCTCTCCGGGCCAGTCACTGGGACTGCAGCTCTCCGGCCAGCCGGTCACAAGGGTGTCAGGAGAGTGCAGACAGATGCAGACCAGGGTGCCAGGCAGCCATCCCCCTTGATGCGCTCGCTCACTTGGGGCTTTCAAAGACCCGGGTTCAGGCTGTCACTTCCGATCCCCTGTGGCACCGGCCGCCTCTCTGACCATCAGCTTCCCCAGGAATGACCACTTCGGGGATGCACGGAGTAGCCAGGGCCGGGCACGCAATCTGCAACGCCGTGCGCCCCGAGGCGTTGGGGCGAGTCTGGGCGCCGCGGAGGGGCCGGGGCGGGGCCGGGGCGGGGCGCAGGCGGGCCGGGGCGGGGCGAGCGGCCGACCCTCGGCAGCCCGGAAGGAGCGGGAGGAGGAGCCGCGGGAGTGAGAGTCGTTCCCACGTGAGAGGCTCCGCGGCCGAATTCCTCGCGTGCGGCAGCGGCGGCGGCGGGGGGCCGGGCGGCCGGCGGGACAGAGAGCCGTGGTCCCGCGCGCTCCGGCGGCCGGGCAGGCGGCGGGGGCGGAGCTCGGCTGAGCCCAGATGCGGCGGCGGCCCCGGGGGCTGTGAGCCCGGCGCCCGCCGTCGGAGCACACCGCGCCGCCTCGGGCAGCGCCCCCCCGGGCACCGGGCATGCGGGCGGCCGACTCGGGCACCTGGGAGCGCGTCAGGCAGCTGGCGGCGCAGGGCGAGCCGGCGCCTTCCTGCGGGGCGGGGGCCGGGCCGGCGCGCCCTCCGGAACCCGCAGCCTACGAGCAGTATGCGGACGCCGCAGGGCCCGGAGATCGGCCCCGCGCCCGGGCGCCCTCCTTTCGAGCGGATGGCGACTGCAACGAGCCCGGTAGGTGCGCGCTGGGAGGGGAGGGCGGTGCGGCCTCCGGCCTGGGGAGCCGCCGGGGCCGAGCGCGCGGGGGCGCTCCCGGTCCGGATCAAGAAGCTGCTGGTGGCAAAGTTCTTGTGCGCGGAGCCCAGAGCGCGCGGGGCGGGGAGCCCGGGGAGAGGCGCTGGATGGAGAGTTAGTTCTTCAGCGCGGGGTCGGGGACCTCGGGGCTCCGTGGCTTTCTGACTTACCCCCCATCCCCAGCGAGGGCTACGAAGGGAGTTCAAGGCCTCGCCTGCTGGAGCGGTGCGGTCCCGCGTCACTTGGAGACCCAGCTTCTGGCTGGCCCCAGCGCCTGTCCTGGGAAGCCTGGACAAGGGGCCAGCCCCGCGCGAAGTACGGGCGGCCCCTGTGACCGCACCTGTAACCCAACCGGTAACCGCGTGAAGTGCCAGGAGAGCCCTGCTTTACGGAGAGGAAAAGTAGTGGTTCGCATTTGCTGGGAGCGAACAGATTTCTCATACTCTGAAACAACTAGTGCAGAAAGAGAAATTGCAGCGGCGGAGACAGACGCAGTGGTCCAGTTGGGTGTCGTTGGCTCCTCCGCCCCAAGCGGAGCACAGCGTTCTAGTGTTAAAATACCCCGTGTGGGGGTGCCCTCTCCATTCCGTCCCGGTCTCAGCTGGTCCCCCAGTAACACCCCCATCCCACCCTGCAAGTCAGGTCTTGGGGGCAGGGCGGGGGGGGGGGCGCCCACAGGAACCCGTGGATCCGCTCGACTCTGATAGGAAGAAATTTATATGGAAGGCGAAGAGCTTCTGGGCAGTTTGAAGTTTGAATGCGTTTCCCAGGAACAACTGGAGGGGAGAGTACGTGATCTTGAACCTACTGCAGTGTCTCCCTGCATCTTATCACCACTCCCGGAGTGAGGCTCTGTTATCTCCAAGAAGATGAGGACAGAAAAGGCCCGAGGTTAATCAACTTCCCCTTAGTTCCACGGCCCTAAACCTCGGGGCTGGAATTTCTAATTTGTCTTCAGTTGACACCAGAATGCCTCTCTCAGGCAGCAAGTTTACCAGCTGGGAAACATGAGGCTTGTTTTTATTTACCTAATAATTTTTTTCCTATGAGAAAAAAGCCAGCAGCAAGCCCCTCCCCTTATTTCAGGCCCCCTGGTGGTCTCCCCAGGAGATGGAATCCTGGGGGTCATAGTTCTAACCACAGGAGCTGGGACTGCCAACCAGATGGCTTTTATTAGCTGAGCTGTGCTGCTGGTGTCCTGGAAGAATTGGAATCTTGGGTCACCAAGGGTGTAGAAGAGGGGCACCAAGCCCAGGAGGGAGCTTGAGCCCCTGGCCCTTCGGCCTTGGGGCTGGGCCAGCCCGAGGCAGTGCGCCTCTTCCCCAGATGCACGGAAGAGTTTGAGGCCAGGACTTGGTGCAAAACAACACAGATGCAAAGAATGAGCAACTGGGAGAGCTTGGGCAAGTTGTTTGGTCTTTCTGAGACTCAGTTTATGGGGAATAATAATAATAGTGTCAACTAATGTTTAGATCATGCAAAGCTGGTGTCTGCAAAACACCTTGCCTAGTTCCTAGTCGATGCTTAACGAATTTTAGTTGCAGCTCCATTTGCAGGGCACCTGTCAGTCTACAGTTGACTTGGGTTTTCCACCAGGATAGGATGCTGTGCGCTCCATCGCCACCTCTCCCCCCCCCCAAAAAGTGTGTCAAGATAAACTTTTGTCTGGTCTGTAAAACACCTGAGTGATCCAAGGCCTGTCCTGCCCGTGGAGGATGTTATTATGTAAACGTTTCAGAGATGGCTGGGTGGAGATACATCTGTTTACTTTGTGTCTGTGTCGACTCCATTTGTGTTTCATAATAACAATAACCTAATGACACGGTGTAGCCGAGAGCACCTGAGGTCTGGGGGCGGTTGTTATTTTCTGGTGGCACTCACAGTCGTCCTTTAGGGCAGAGACAGTGCAGAGCTCCTTTGCTGATACACAGGTGACATCACTGGCCTGAAACAGGATCCAGCCAGCAATGAAACCAGAAAGTATGGTGTTCTCTCCGCCCCACCACCCTTCACCCCCTCTGGGTCTGGTTCTTAATGATCAAATGATGTTTCTGAGAACGTCCATGGTGTCAGGGTCTGGGGGACAGCCTGTCATGGACATGGGTTCTGAAGCCACTGGCTGATACAAGGGGATTTCCTCTGGGAAACAAATGAGACCTCTTCCGACTTAGAACCACAAGCTGATATGACTGCTGAAATAAACATTTCAGCCAGGTGGTCTGGTGACTCGCCCCCGGATCTCAGCACATCGGTGCCCAGTTGAACGGGGACGCTCAGCTTCGGGAGCCAAAAGAACACCCTGTTGGGTGACGGAGTCGAGTCTGGGGAAGCAGGAAGGGTGAGGGGATGCCTGATTGGCAGGAGTGAGAACTGGACATCTTGACATCGCTCACAGGGAGTGTCTTCCTGAGCTCAGCAGGGTGACAGACCCTGGGCTGGTAACAGCTCCGACCTCCAGGGTGGGGTCACTTCCAGGGGAGGTTATCATTCTTTGCAAGTGGACTGGGGACCGGAGCAGGAGATGGGGACATTAGATACTTGTTCCCTCTGCATCCTCATCCTCTGAGACACTTGGTAACTCAGTTCCCCTCTTGGTGCTGTGGGACTGACTCCATCTGAGCAGGGAGCACTCCAGAGCCCCAGCAGAGCGAACCAGCTTGGGCTGAGAACGCATATTGTACTGCCTTTGGTGGTCCAGTCGTTTAGTCGCATTTCTCCAGCGTCCATTCCTGCCAGGCAGTGTTGTAGCTGCCCGGGATGTAGCAGCGAACGAGACAACCACAGCCTTTGTTTCCATGGAGCTTACATTCTGTGGGAGGAAATTTCCAGTAGGCAAATACGCAGGGGGTGTGGCGGGGGCTGTAAGTGCTGCACAGGAAAATAAGGCCAGGTGAGGGCTTAACGTGACGGGCGGTGGGTGTTCTTCGGTGTCTAGGTAGCTGGTCAGATAACGCACCAGCTCAAGAAGGAGGTGCCTGGGTGCCGAGTCGCCATGGCAGGAGGGTGTTGACAATCAGTTAAAGAAACCCAGTCATTGTTTAGAAGTTCTTGATAAGTTAGTATCTTTGTAGACAGGATGTTTTAGCCGTCCACATCTGAAGCCCACCCAGACGTCCAGGCCCAGTTCAGAGGCCCCTGCCTCCTTTGGCTCCTCTCCTAAGTGACAGCTTAAATGCCACAGGACGCCAGAGCCTCTTGGGCCCTCTACCACCTTTTTTATTAGTCTTTTGAGTCCTTAGCTCCTCTCGCCCCTCCCCGCACTTAAAGTACAAGGAGGAGGGGGCCAGGCCTTTGCTTCTGTGTGTTTAGCTCCCAGGACCTTGCCGAGCGAGGCTTGGAGCCGACCAAACGGCGAGCTTTATCTTAGTCTGCCAGCCATCCCCGGGGAAACTGGTCCTCAGAAAAGCTTTGTAGCTCACCCAAGGGCAGCCGGTAGGTGTCCCATGAGGACCTGGTCCCAGGTTGTAGACCTCAAGGCAGTTCGGAAAGACCTGGTCCTGATCTTAAGAAAGTAGAGAGACCTATGTTCAGTTTCCAGTCTGTGTTTTCTGTAAGTTTTTGTCGTGTGTAAAAAGGTCTGTCCTCTCCTTGACATGCCTGGTTTTGAACAGCTGGGGCATGTGCTTATCTTTGCGTCCATGTCAGCAGTGGGTTTCTGCTGGGTCAGAGGTGAGATTAGAGCTCCACTTGGAATGGGGATGCGCTCGTGAAGCCACCCACCAGGACGAGGGTTTAGTGGGAGCTCCCCCAGCTGATGGGTGGGGCAGAGACAACCTGGGGCTTGGCTGTCCTGGACAGTCTAGAGCCAAAGTCATTGCTCTTGGAAGAGACTCAGACTGGTTTTCCTCGGGAGGTCTCCTGTGGCCTGGTGCCCTCCCTCGGCCCCGTGGGACTGCTCGGTGAGACGGGCTGCACCTCCTTCTGCCAGGCCGGTGGCGCACCAGAGTGGGAGCAGGGCACCAGCTTTGGAATCAGACACCCTGGTTGGAATTTTCCAGCTCTGTTGCTTACTTTGTCATTTAATGTCCCGAGCCTCAGTTTGCCCATCTGTAAAGTGGGCTCACATTGCACACCTCAGAACTGTTGGGCAGGAATCCTAGCATCCTTCATCACCACGGAGCTGGATGTTACCTGTGCCATGGGGGGCGGGGCAGTGCCCATTTATCCAGAGTCCACAGAACTTGAAAGAGTGTGTGTGTGTATGCGTGCAAAAGTTTTTAAAATCGTTGAAGTGTGAAATGCCGGGATTTGATGAGACAGGTGATTCACAAGGACTGCTAGCTACTTATTTGGCCTCCTGAGTCATCGGGAAATTTCCATGAAGGTCATTATGCGTTCTTCATGTTCTCTGTAATGCTCCGATTGAGTTAACCAGGTGATTTGCTTGGACCCTCTGGCCATTGCCAGGGAAGAAGAGTTTACTACGGTTCCCTTTTCACCATTTCAAGAGCCACTGCACGCATTGGCTGAAGGAGACTGGCAAACACAGCCTGGCGATCCCCTCTCCCACCCACACCACAGCCAACAGACAAAAGGGGGAGCCGGGTACACGGGCGTGTCCACAGATCTTAGCCCAGCAGACTCAGGCGCCTGGCGTGTCATCAAAGCCGGCCGAAGCTGTCGCCGTGGGGATTCGAGTCACCCAGGGCCTCAAACACTCCAGAGAGGGTGGCAGGCCGTGGTTACGAGGTGCGTGCACACCGGCGTGTGTGGTTATTTCCCCGTGAGTGCACTTCGTGTTGAGCGTGGCAGATGAGTGCCTGCCCGGGAGGGGAAAGGTCAGGATTGCCCCCTGTTCCCAAGGACCACCCGCTCTGGGTGCCTCACAGCAGCCACCATGAAGGTGGGGACTTCAGGCTCTCCCTCGTCTGCTGTTTGGGTCCCTTCAAGAGAGGCCAGTTAGAAGACACCAATTGTGGCGATCCCTCAGAGCCCTCCCC